AGATAAAGCAAAGACAAAGCTGGATCGTATCTTGTATGGATGTTTAATACACTGGTTCACTAACTGTAGCCCTTTTAGAGATTTTGAAGTCAATGAACTGGGACTCTCAAGCCTAGGGTCTCCAGAAAGTATGTCGAATAGATACCGGTATACACCTCATAGGGCAGAACCATTTAATGTCTCCTAGTAGTTTTTGGAAATCATTTAAAGTCTTTAAATTATCTCTTCTAATCTGCATGGATTGTGTTTTACAGTGTATTAGTCTACTATGGTTCCTAAGTAATGGAACAGGTTGGTGGTCTGGAAAGGGTTGGTGAATTTTGTCTGGAGCTATATTAAGTCCCTGGTCAATCAAAGACTTAGCCATGTCCTGAAATAAATTGGTAAATTCTCATTGGGCCTATGTAATGAACAATATATGACTCAGGATATTTAATTCTAACTAGAGCCAATGTCTTCCCCACATAGAATTCACACAAGATAGGAGAATTGGCCCTTTCCCGTGGCACTTTTCAGGATTTTGTGTCCTGGTTTTAAAGCTTTGACAACATTGATTTTTTAAGATTACTTTTCAGTTTTTTACATCATACTTAATTTTTTGCATTTTTCCATCTCAGCTATTATCCCCATGGGCTTCTCACCAACAATTCACCCGTGTGTCATCACCACAGTCCAGTGCACATTTCCCATCTCAGTTTTGATCCCATTCCCCTCTCCACTCCATAAAATGTCTCTGGTTTATAGTTCTTTATTGTCTTCACTTTTAATCTATTACATTTGTTTCTCACCCCATCCCTTACACTCCTGCTATTATTTTTGCATGCACCCAGTGAACATCACCAAAGGTGCCCTCACCAGGGAACAAGGATTATATTCTGTCACTATGTCTAAGCAAAGCTCTATTCAGTGTGTGGAGACTTGTGCCCATTTTCATGCAGCGGGTGATAAGTAACAGAGGCAAGGTGGCCACACAGTGACAGATTGTCCATGTAAAAATGACTCACAGAAATCTCCATGTATGTCCTTATGCAGGGTTTCCTTCCACTGTCATCTGAGTCACGTCAGGTCCCTGTTCGGGTGCCACTTGTCAATGTGGAGGATCATGGACCTGGGGCGGGAAAAGTACTGAGTCACAGAGGCTTCAGTGAGGGAGTGAGCACAAGGCTTCAGTGTCAATCCTTATTTTTCCAGGGTTTTTATTTCCATCTTCTCAGCATTCTTAGCTCTGACAGTGCTGAGACTTAACCTGAAAAGTGTATTATTTGCTTGCTATTGAGCTTCAGTGCATCCTCCTTTCTTAGGTCACTGGATATTTTCACAACTAGAAATAGTTGTGAATTATATATGCATATATGTGTGTATATATTTGTATATATACACACACATATACACCATAAGACCATATATGTATAGGTATATCATAAACAGTAAATTATAGATAGTCTTACTATTTTCAGTATTTTTTATGGAGACTTTATATTGTTGACCACAGATTACACCCTCACGAGTATTCATTGTATCTGATTTTTTTTTTTAAGAGTTATTTATTATTTAGGCATGCAGAACTGGGGTACAGACCAAGGTGCAGGAGTTGGGAAGATTCACCAGAGACAGAGTGGGGGTCAGAACAGCCACATTGAGAAAGTATACTGCTGAGGGGCACAGCAGGCCAGACAGGAGAAGTCTGCTGAGCCATGTGGGTCACCTCCTGGGCCGGGAATTGAATTTGTGCTTTATTGGCTGCAGCTAGTCACTCATAATAGCGCGAGTGCTATGCTTTAACCTATGGCACCACCAGGAAGGGCCCATATCTGGTCATTTTGATAGAGTGCACTCTCCAAGGTATGAGGAAGGAGCTCATTGAGGTCTTGACTTGCATTTCTGTGACAACGGCCATTCAACCAGTGTTTGGAGACTTATTTTTTTTTTCCCAATATCCCCGATTTTTGGTTAGTGAGATTTTTGAAAGTTACTTTTGTAATTCTATTATATAAGTACATTTAGATATTTAGCATTTACAGCAAATATTCCTATTAAAACACAATTATTGGGTCCACCCTAGTGGCCAAGTGGGTTAAAGTGCTCTCTATGGAGCTATCTGCAGCCACTGTAGCATCTGTTTGATTCTTGGCCAGTGGGGTGACCCACATGGCGCCACAGACCTCCTCTGAACCGCCTGATGCTCCCCTCAGCTGTGTATTTCGATACATCTACCTGTTTGCTCCCTGCTTTGTCTCTGGGGAATCCTCACACTCCTTTGCACCTCTGGCCTTCTGTATGCATAAATAAATAAATCATAAAAACATAAATAAAATAAA